CAAAAAACCTCATTTTAATTTAAGCCAAGTGGTGTAAATAGTATTTATGAGGCAGCACTTCCCCTTCCCCCTGGGCAAAGCCAGGCTCAGGCAACGTGCAGCACCAGCCTGAGGTTGGCACCTCCTCCTGGGCGACCTGTTGGACTCTCCCTGTGTTTGAGGCTGCAACACTTGGGGTTAATCTTGCCTCATTTTACCTGTCTGGAGCCCAAAGGCATCTCTGTAGGCTCTAGCCAGGCTCCCTTTGCAGTCAGTGAAGAGAAGCAGATCCTTCTGCAGGGTGATTCATCCCTCCTGGTTTGGGATGATAAAACCTGTCTGGGGAGCACCTGTCCCTGCTGCCTGCCAGAGGGGTTTGGAGCTGGCACCCCTGGGTGCAGACCTCTGGATCCCACCCCTGTGTTTGGAGTGGAGACTGCCCCATGCCAAGGGATGAGGCTGGAGGGTCCTCCCTGCTCTGCCCAGAGGCAAATTAAATCCCCAGCGACTAATTAGAGGCACTGCAGCCAGTTACTGACATCCCATGAACACCAGTCAGCTCTGGGGAAATGCCTGGAGGGTGTGTCCCTCAGGGGGGGATGCAGCAGACCCCTCTGCTCTGTGCCCACACGTGGAAGGCCACGGGAGGGCTGGGCTCTGCCTTGGCTTTGGAGAGTTTGCTGCTGCTTCCTCCCCCCTGGGAGTGTCTCTCTGGATGCTGGAGCCTCCCCAGGGGCTGGCAGCAGGAGCCACCCTCAGCTGTGTGCTGCAGGGTTCCACTCCAGTCCTTTGGCTTCAGCAGCACCTGCAGCTTGGTCCTGGGGGGATGTGAACCCTCAGGGTGACCTCTGCTTGAGCCAGAGCCTAAATCACCCTCTGCCTTCCCAACGAGACCTCACTGCTTGTCTGAGGTCTCTAAGCTGCAGGAGATGTGGTGCTGAGGGGCCAGAGCTCCCTGAGGGACCCGTGGAAAGTCTCAGCACTGGGATGAGAGGAAATTCCCTGGGCATGGAGCTCACTCAGGGCTCTGAACCCCTCCTCATGCTGGGAACTGATGGTTGAGAGCAAGCAGTGGGGTGCTTGCTGCCTGCAGGATCTCCCCCAGCCAGCACTGAGGGGCTCAGCCCTGGGAGGGAGGGAGGGAGAGGGAAATTCCATAAGCACAGGCTGGAAGAGCTGAGGTGGAGCTGAATGCACTTTAATGGTTTGTTAATCCTTGATGAAGTTTATTCCCCCTGCACCCTTTTGTTGTTTTTCTTCTTCTTTGTTTTTTTGCTGTGTCGTGTCACACAGAGCCAGAGAGGGGAAAGCTCAAGATCTTGCTTTTTATTTTGGGTGATTGTCTGTTTATAATTCTGATTTTTGTGTTGATAGCCTCAGAAATGTGAAATAGCCAAAAACTCAGGGAAGCCCTAGAGCTGTTTACTGTGGGATTCATCCCAGTGAGTACCAGGACAGAGGGTTTGGGCTCTATCTATCTCCCAGGAGGAGCTTCCTCTGCCCAACGTGAGGGTCCTTGCAGATCAGGAGGTGTTAGGAGAGGGCAATCTGGGGTGAAAACCTTCCCTTTTGGTTCCAATTCCAGTCCTTTGGTAGGTCCCTTTTTTAACCTTGCCTCAGCTGGTTGAATAACAAAATGCTAAAGCCCAAATTTCCACTGTAAAAAAAAAAACCCCAAAAGACTCCTCCAGCTACTGAGAATAAAATCACAAGTTCCTGTTTTACATCATCTTTCTTTTTTACCTCTCTTTTAAGTCATTTCTCTGCTAGGTCCTAAAGTTTGGTGGTTTTTTATTTGAAGCTCTTTTGAGTGATTGCATCCAGCCTAACCCTCAGTTCTTTGAGTCCTGCAGGGATTCCTCAGCTGCTTGTGGAACATCTTCTGAACTACTGCATTTTACAGGTCAGAGGACAGGCCAAGGAAATGCCAGAGGAAACTGTTGTGATGTTTTAGCTCCCCTGAATAGCTCAGACTGTGATTTTTTTGTGGCACTGGGCAGTGACTGCACGAGTAGCAGCATTGTCCTTGCCACAGGTACAGGCTGGAGAGCTGGGAATTGCTGCAGCCATCCCAAATTCAGGTGAAAATTAGAAGCTGTGGGGATAACCTTGTCCTGTCAGGGGTTGGGGGCTATGCTGAGGGTCAGGTTTGGATCACAGGCTCTCCTCTCCTCCTGAACTGCTGAGGGCACCTCCACTTGCCAAGAGAAGAGGCCGTGGTGGGTCGTTGGAGAGCTGAGCCACAGCACTGCACCACCCTGCTGCACATGGGCCACAGCACTGGCAGCTCAGGATTGCCCAAAACTTGACAGGACAAAGAGGAAAGGGCCTCAAGTTGCCCCAGGGGAGGTTGAGGTTGGATTTTGGGAACAATTTCTTGCCCTGGAGGGCTGTGGAGGCCTGTGCCAGGCTGCCCAGGGCAGTGGTGGAGTCCCCACCCCTGGAGGGGTTTCCAAGCCGTGGAGATGTGGGGTGAGGGACACGGGGCAGTGGGGGCCTGGGTTTGACTGGATGGTCCCAGAACCACAGCAGGGTGGGGGTTGAAAGGGACCTGTGGGGACCACCTTGTCCAACCCCCCTGCTCCAGCAGGTGCCCCACAGCAGAGTGCCCTCATTGCACCAGTGCAGGGTGGGCTTGGGAAGGGCAGCTCTGCCTGCCCCAAGAGATTCCTCCTCTGGTGTTGGTTCTTTTTTTCCCTGGTTATGGTTTCTTTCTGCTGTGGAAGTTTTGTGCATCTTTTGTGGAAGTTCTGTGACTCCTCTGGCCATGCAGGGCTGACTTCTCTCAGTTAGGGGTTAAGAATCTGGTAGATCCCATGCTCCCAGTTCATGCTGACTGCATGGGGACTGGCTGCTTTGGCTCTTCTGGTGGCAGCCAGAGGACCTGTGGGTTTGTGAAGAGTTTGGGGTTTACTGGGAGTGAAAGATGTTGTGTGTATCATGGGTGTTATTAAGTGAAGCTCCTCGAGTGACTCTGCTTGGTCACACCCTCTGCTTCATCTTCCTGGCAGCTTTGGGCTGTTATTTGACTTCCTTCACCCTTTAATCCAAAAAAATCAGGGCATGGATCCAACACAAACCAACCCAAACCCACCAGGCCAGTGCTGCTTTCACAGAACCCCAGAGTGGTGGGGCTGGAAGGGGCCTCTGGGGATACCCTCATCCCACCCCCTGCTCCAG